CCATTTTGCCGCCCATTCTCCCAGTTTGGAGAGATCCTTCTGGAGCTCTTCAACAATCCCTTCTGGCCTTCACCACCCGGAAAAGTTCCATGGCCACCACACTGCTTATCCCTGTATCCAGGTCATCTATGAACAGGTTGAAAAGCACCGGTACCAGGACAGACCCTGGGGCACGCTGCTTTTCACCTCTCTCCATTGTGAAAATTGCCCATAATACGGTATTATTATCATATGTGGTGAGAGTGTAAATGGATTCAGAAATTTTGGAAACAGATTTTTAAGGAAATATGTGATATACTGGGAAAAGGTGTCGAATTCAATTCTAAAACTGCTTTGTTGTCAATATTTGATAAGATAGAACTTGATTATTGCTCAAAGGAATTGATTTCCAATTTTATGACAAGTGCTAGAATATTACTAGCTAGATTCTGGAAAGATAAAAATGATATTAAATTAGAAGATTGGTTTAATGAAGTATGAGACATTGCATTAAATGATAAATTGACTACTAAACTTAAGATAAAGAGAGGGGAAATAAGTTCAAATATTTTTGTGCTATTTGAGGTAGACTTGTTGAATTTGTATTAGTGAAAGGGGAAAGCCTCTAAACCACTGGTTCTTAACCTTTGTTACTCAGATGTTTTTGGACTGCAACTCCCAGAAGCCTTCACCATCAGCTCTGCTGGCTGGGGTTTCTGGGAGTTGCAGTTCAAAAACACCTGAGTAACAAAGGTTAAGAATCACTGCTCTAAACAACAATCAATTCAATTTTGGAAAGGAGGTTCATATTAAAAGTAATGTTCCAAAGGGTCCCGTGGGTATGGGGGAGTACTGTAGTTTAGATTGTATTAGTAAATATTTTGTATTTGTTTTGGAAATTAAAAAAGGAAAAGGAAAAAAAAAAGAAAATTGCCCAATTGACACCCCTCTGTTTCCTGGTTCTCAACCAATTCTCAGTCCATAAGAGGACCTGCCCTCTTATCCCCTGTGGAGTTTTCTCAGTAGCCTTTAGTGAGGAACCATGTCAAACACCTTCTGAAAATCCAGACAGACAATATCCACTGGTTCACCCGCATCCACATGCCTGTTGACCTTTTCAAAGAATTCTAAAAGGTTTGTGAGGCAAGACTTACCACCCTTACAGAATCCATGCTGATTTTCCCTCAGCAAGGCTTGTTCTTCTGAATATTTGTAAGTGTTGACAGTGTTTTGAACCCAAGGGGTGAGAGAAGTGGTACACATAATCTCCACCCAACTCCCAGAAAAGACATTTTGGACTGAAGCTGATTCCTCTCTTAATAACTTTGTGTGGAGAACTTAGTGGTGGAGAAGTAATGTAGTTTGTAATAAATTTTGAGTTTGTCGTTTGAATGTTGATTTTGAGTTTTCAACTGAATGATGAATGACACAGTGATGGATGGTATAATTTGTGATCATCACCACCCCCTCAGAGGAGGCATATCTCTTCACACTTGCATATATCAGTAAGTCAGGTTGTGATTTAGTGAATTCTGGCTTTGATTATATTCAGATAGATTATATTAAATATAATCAGATAGTTTATATTAAATCCATTTCTACAAACAGATTACAGTGGGGTCTCTACTTAAGAACGTCTCTACTTAAGAACAATCCAACTTAAGAACAGCTCCATTTGCTAAATTTTGCTTCTACTTGAGAACAGAAATCCAAGATAAGAACAGGGAAAAAAAACCTTTCCTGCTCTTTTTTTAACCTTAGGTCATCTTAGGTTAAAAAAAAAATTCTCCCCCTAGTGGTAGAGTATGTATTAACCAGCTTTGCATTAGTTCCTATGGGAACTAATGCTTCAATGTACGAACGGGCCTCTGCATAACAAAAAAACAGCCAGAACGGATTAATTGGTTTTCAGTCCATTCCTATGGGAAATTTTGCTTCAATTTAAGAACGTTTCAACTTAAGAACACCATTCCAAAACCAATTAAGTTCTTAAGTAGAGGTTCCACTGTAGTTTCTATGGACGGAAAAGAGCAGATACGGATTAAATGGTTTTCAATGCATTCCTATGGGAAATGCAGATTCAACATAAGAACTTTTCAACTTGAGAACCACCTTCCAATACGGATTAAGTTCTTAAGTAGAGACCCCACTGTATACTTTGTTAGCCCGGCACAATTAAATGCCATTGTTTGTTTATTTACAAATTTGAACGATGGCTTTTCATTCTGTCGGAATTCTGAGTTTTGTTCTTGACCTGCCTCCCCAGCTGTCCTACCCAAAAGGGCAGGTGACAAAATGTGCATAAATAAAATGGCCTAGAAATGATGAACACAATGTTGTCTGTGGGGTAATAGCGAACACAACAAACTATAGTTAGCATAAGCCATTGCTTAGTATCATGTGCAAATGTGGTCTGCATTTATGCCCTGTAGATGCCAACTAAATTCTGGCCATAGGTTTTTGGTGGAATTTTAATTGCTGAGAGAAAATGGGGTATCTATATTTGGATGGTGAAAGTTGTGTATATTTTAACTTTTTTTTGTAGTGTTGTCCAGTTTTACCTTGGGGAAGAGCACCTCATTTCGTTGCACCCTCTTGTGAGCGCAATGACAAATAAATTTCTTATGTCTTATGTCTTATGTCTATACTGAATAGTGTGACATTTGTGTTGAAGTCTTCTCAAACTCCTCATTTACTGATTTCATGATGGACACTCTCTCACTACTAAATCTGCTTTATAGAATTGCTGTGAATATGAAATAGCAGGAGGAACCATGAAGAAATTCAAGGTTCAAGAGATCTCCTTTCAGATACAGTATTACCTTTCATGGCACTTCTCCATTATGTAATAATTCACTACAATCATTTTGTGGAACCCAGTTGGGGGAGGGGTTTACCCAAAGGAGAAAGGCCAGGCCTCCTGGGGCTGGGGTCTATCTGCTCCATAACAGTTTGTTAAAATAACTGTTTAGCACTGATTTGGTTAATGCTCTAATTTCTTGTAGAAAGTATCCTGAGTGCTAAGAAGAATATTACTGTATTGCAGCAATACTTTGAGCTGGGAGGGAAGCTATGTGTTGGCAATAAATGTTGCTAAATATTGCAATGAATGTGGAATACAGCAAAGCTTGGGAAAATTATGTTTTCAGATTAGGCAGCATGGCCACATCTGGGGAATTCTACGAGTTACGGTACAAAAAACTAGAACTGAGATTGTATTTAAACAATAAAATGAGACTTTTAAAAAATCAAGTTAGTTCTCTGAAGAAAAGAAAAACACAGAGAAAGAACTTTTCCATTTACTATTCTTTTTTTTTCTTTTTTTTGCATTGTGGTTTGAACAAGGCATTGCACAACCAGGTGTAAAAAAAAGGAAGTATAAATAGGATTTACACACTAAAAATGTAGTTTTTCTTTTACACTAACAAATAGTTAAGTGTGACCTGCAGAATTCAATATTGTATAAGAGATTAAAAATGTGCAGTTAATGTATCAGACATTTTTCATTTACTTTCAGAAAATGTTGAAGTTTACATATTCATATTTTCCATGATAAAGTAAAACAATGTATATTTACATACCATATTTGAAAATGTAAGAACCAAGGCACAAAAGAAAATATAAAGGTTCTAGAGAGCACTTGAAACAATGAAAGAATTCTGAGTAGCATATGAGATCAACATAAGGCAAATGCTAAAGAAATATTACAGTATTAAAGAATTCAGCCGCACATGTCTGATCCTTAGAAAGAACAGCAGAGGTGTCTTTTAAAGCAGCTTAACATCCCCAAAGGATGCACCACTTACAGGATAATGCCCCCCTGCCTTTTTACTAAAGTACACTTACAAAAATGCCACAAGGAGCATTAACCTTATAAAAAGTATTTTGATTTGTGCAACCCCTTCTTTCAAATTAATGCTAGCTAAGCAACACTTTATATTAGAGATGAGGGTATTAGTATACGAATATCCCTGCACAGCTGGACGTAATGACTATCCACTCTGGGCAGAAGGAATGAAGATGGGTCTCTCTGCCAGGCTGACAAGTGGACAGCTGACCGCGAGTTCCAGTGATTGGAAGGGAAAGCAGAGCTGGCGGCAGCAGTGGACGAGTAAGTGGATGGTCCAGTCCCAGGGGGCCGGACCCTTGTTATGTCTATCTCTCTGTGTGTGGCTATTCATATTCGTATGAGAATACAAATACCCCAATCTCTACTTTAGATCATTGAATGCCTCACATACACGGTATTACACGCAGCAAAATTATTGAAGAATATATTCTTGAGAATAAGACAATAATTAAGGTAAGGCTTTGGCTAGGCAAACAAAAAGATAGTAAAACTTAAGCTGTATGAAGGAATTAAAAAATAACATGAATTGCATTTCTAAGACAAGAGGCACACTTGATGCTCAGTCTTTGTTTGCATTTGGTTTGTCTTTGTATCACATTTTAAAAAATATTATAATGATAAATTTGAAACCAAGCAAGGTCAGTGCCTCCATCTGGAAAGTTTCAAAAGCATAAATTTGGGTATGCAAGTATATGACACTACACACAGGCTTTACACCCTCCACATCTACTTCCAGATCGTTTATAGCAAGACAAAAATTGTAAAGGCCAATTTATTTTTAATCCTGTATTTTTCAATAAAACATGTCAGCTGTATTCTATTACAAATAAATGTACATAAATTTGCATTATTCATTTTAAAAAGTGCTTGTTATTGGTCCATTAAAAATTAGGTAATGGATTAAGACCAAACTCTTTGCCCTGTGAAGATACACAGTACCTTATTTGATTATAATTTAGTAAATTGCCCCCCTCCCGTCTACAGAAGAGAAGGATATCTTCATAATTAAAGTTTCACAGTCACAACACATGCCCCCGCTCTTCCTAGGCACAATGGAGCAACCTGTAAGAGCAAAAGAGAAAACAGATGAGTGAGAAGGCCAATTTATTACAACTATTTTGCAGAAAATGATATGCCAGTTATGGGTGGGGCAAATTAAATGGCAGAAAAAAAACAAGAGATAAAGTCTTTATTTGCTGTTATACTTTAATTAGTATTCAGTTTGGGCCAGAGATCAAACTGAACACTAGAATCTTTTTAAGCCAGTCAGTGCTCAGCTGCAGAAATGGTGACACAGATATTTGTACATCTGTACAAGTTTTCTCCTAAAAAGCATGGGAGTTTTCCAGTCCCTGTTATTATCTTCTGCACATGCTAGGCCTATCTAGACTAATGAGTTATGCAGGAATACATGTTCGATTTTACTTGTTCTCCAGTTAGACTAATGTAGTCCAAAACCCTCCTATCCAGAACAAGAAAATGAACAACTTTCAAGTGTACCTTACAACTGAGTTTCCCCATGATGACATAATTGCTCCCTTATGTTAGAACTAGAAACACTGTCCTACAGAATGGATGCACTAGGTACATATGGAGAGTACCTTCATGTTTTATCTGTTCTATATCCAACCTCCATATACAGCATTTTGACAGTTCTCAGAAAGCAAGTCTCAAGTATAGCCTCAAAGCTGAACAGACAAGAACCCTCCATGCCTTACTCAATCCCACTATTGTCAGTCAAAAGCTCCCAGGATTCTTTGATTTAATAATAATAACAACAATAATAATCATTATTGTCATCATCATTATCATTATTACTATTGTGTGCTGCCAAGTCAATTCTGACTTATTGCAACCCTTTTCAGGTTTTTTGGGTAGAGAATGCTCAGAAGTACTCATTCCCTTCTGGGGACATTCTGGGACTGTGCAGCTTGCCCAAGGCCACACAGGCTGGCTCTTCTGAGATGCCCAAGGAGCAACTGACCTCCCAACCTCTGGTTCCACAGCCAGAAACCTAATCCACAGAGCTATCCAGCCGGTTTCATCTGAGTATAGTTGGTTAAAAAAAGAGACTGAACTGCTCCTAGAAGGCAGCTAATGTTTATACACATGGTGTTGCCTTCAACTGCCTTAGAGCATGAGTCCAACTGCATGATATTGACCACTCTGACTGATAGTTGCTCTCTAAAGCCTTTTCTAACCCTGCTCACGGAGCTCCTGGAATAAAAATTGCCATTAATTCAACTAGGTCCTGGTCGAGATACAAAGCTTAACCAATACCTGTGTCCACTCATTTGACTGGGGGTCATAGGACTCCACTGTGTTAAGGTAGGTTTGTCCATCATATCCACCAACAGCATACAATCTGTCTCCAAGAAGACAGACTCCCACTGCATCTCTACTAATGCTCATGGATGCCACAGCAGTCCATACATCTGTTTTTGGATCATACCTGAAATATTAGTTTTGAAAATAATGTTTCACTGTAGTTGCTTGAAATTCCACAAAGAAAATATCTGAACTACTTTAATTTTGCTTGTTACTCAACAGCTTATAAAGGATTTTGAGATGGCTCCTCTTAATGTTGTTATGTCACCTAAAAGTCTGTTTTTCCATTATTATCCTTTGTTTCCCTTGCACAAACAGGACCTTCTTGGATAATTTCTTTTTTGCTACAGTTCCTCATTATATCCAAAACAGTGGCGGCTTACATCCATATACTAGACAGGATCTTAAACCACAGAATGCAGATTATGAGCTTGCATAGGAAGCTAATATTAAATTACAACTCCCTTTTTTGAACATAATGGGGAACTGTAATTTTATGTTCCATACAATTCATGTGTTAATAAAGGGACATCTGGGGCTGGGTGTGTAGGCCCGATAGCCATTTCTCTCTTATCTTGTCAATCTGTCAAATCATGGCTTGCTGAACCATAATTTGACAAACTGGACACATGCATCCAAACTGGCTTGTTATCATATGGCATGGTGCCGCATACAATTGTTGGCAAATTTCAGTGGCTGAAATCCTGTTTCTCAGCACAGCATATTGAGCTAGAGAAGGTCCATTGAATAAGTGTGATTTAGTGAGCTAACTCCTTCATAAATTCCATTGATTTAAACAGGCCAACTCTAATTGCAACCTATTTTAGCATTGTTAAGTCACAACCAGATTCACAAGATGAATCAATTACCGTATTTGCCGGTGTATAAGGCGACTGGGCGTATAAGACGACCCCCCAACATTTCCACTCAAAATGTAGAATTTGTTATATACTTGTCATATAAGACTACCCCCTCTTCTGCATGCATGATTCTGCTTTGGCTGCATCATGGGGAGAGTTCGTTTTGCCGCTTTTGGTTCCTTTCACTGCGAGAGAGCGAGGGTTTGCTGGAAGGACAGCATCGGTGCCGAACAGCTGTCAGGAACCAGCAGAGGCGGCAGCCATTTTGGAGAGGCGGCAGCCATTTTGAGAGGCAGCAGCCATGTGGTCGCATCTCAAAATGGCTGCTGCCTCTCTGCTGGTTCCCAACAGTCAGCTGTTTGGCGCTAGAGTCAGGCTTTTCCCAGGCTACCAAGGAGGAGCTCGGTCTACTCGGTCTTACTACCAGGTAAGTGACTTCGCTGGGAGAGAGGGAGGGGTTGCTGGAAGTACACCCGGCGTATAAGATGACCCCCCACTTGGAGGCATGTTTTTCAGGGCCAAAAAGTCATCTTGTACGCCGGCAAATATGGTAAACTTATAGAGGAGCCTTGTAGTGAAGTGGTTAAATTGAAGTACTGCAGTGAAGACTGGTCATGACCCAAGTTCAATCTTGGGCTCAGGTAGCCAGCTCAAGGTTGACTCAATCTTCCATCCTTTTGAGATTGGTAAATGAGTACCCAACTCACTGATGTGTGTGTGCGGGACTATGTGTAGCCAGAGAGTGCCTTAAGCACTATGGGGCATTATATAAAAAGCACACTTTGGTTTGAATAATCAGATCTACACCAATTCAGCAGGCCTATCTAGTGTAGTTTACTGCACTAAGCTACAGGATTTCAGCCAGTGAACAGTTTAAAATGAGAATTTTTTTTCCAAATAAAAAATGCCCAAAGCCCAAGCCTCACCAGTAAAGACTGACACATAGATTAAGGTTCTATTGGCTTTCATTTGGTGGAGAATAACTGATCTCAAGCAAGGGTATTATATTTTAAGAATCTCTATGAATGTGCATTGAAAACACAAATATGTTTTGATTTCCTTGAGAACCTAATCTACATAAACTCCTTGAAAACCAACTGATCTCAGTAGGAAGAATTTAAAGCATGAATTTAAACTTTGCATCAAAATGCACTGTTATGCAACTTCAAGTCAGTATCAACTTACAGTGACCTTAATAAGGCTTTCAAGATAAGTGAAATATTTAAGGAGTGTTTTACTAGTTCCTCACTCCCAGTGATTTTACATGGCTGAGCAGCTATTTGTGCCCAGGCCTCCTGAGTCCTAGTCCATTACTCGATCCACTACCCCACACTGGGTAGTCCCCAATAAAATCCATAGGGCTTTGAGCCAAAAGATTAGTTTTAATTGAATTAGAAGAAAGATTGTTGCACTGCACTTTCCTGTGAAAGTCTTCTCTACACAAGGGAAGTTGCATATGTTCCTATCAACACTGTATTAGGTCAATACCTCTCCACACAGTCTGACAACCTTGATGTCAAGTTGGAAGCTGGTGCATCATGGCCTCCAATAGCATAGAGGAACCCATTCCAGGTGGTTACTCCAACACCTCCTCTTCGCTTTGACATTTGAGAACAGAGTGTCCATTTATTAGTATGAGGATCAAAGCATTCCACAGATTTGAGACACGAACTTCCATCTCGACCACCAACTGCATAGAGCCTATAATATGCAAAACACGGTATGAGTTATACAAACACCCATCATTTCTAAGCACAAACAACAGATTAAAATATCTAGCTGGTGTTGAATTAGATGCCTTATTCTTGTGGAATAAAAACAGTGTGAAGCTTAGCAAATGGAAATTTTCCTCAAAGTCAAGAGAAGCTGGTCCATCTTTTCTTCAAAGGGAACTTGCTTGGATTCCTTTCTCAAAAAGAGTAGATCACTCACATTTTGCTGCCACTTATACATGCAGTCTACCTATAATTTCTTGGTAACAAGGCAAAATTTAAACAACTTTGGGTCAATTCATTTCGTCCTCGATAGGTGGTACAATTTGTCCTTTGCTGTTGCACTACTTTTAATGGTATTAATTAGATGCTAGTTAAGTGAATGTTTATGGGCCAACTTATTTAGGTTTAAAGATCTGTGTACATGTTACATTTTTTTCTTTTCCTCTTCCTATACAGTACTTCACATCCCAGTAGAGAAATGGGGTTTTTCTGTTCTTAAACAAAGATGCACCACCAAAGTACAAATAAAAACTTAAAGAGAAAAAAAAATTCTTAGGACAGCCAAACCATTTTGCTACCATCTGATCAGCAAATGGGGCTGGGGTACTATGTACCATGAAGCTTATTTTAGATTAGGCATCCTTCAGTCTTGAGAGACTATGGTAACATGCTCTGAATGGAGGACTTGGAAAAGCGTCTAGTGTGACTGAGAAGGCCAATTTGAGAGTGACAATCCCTTCCACACTGAAGACAAATCCAATCTGTCTCCTGTCCAGCTCCCTGATTTTGCTGGTTTTGGGACTGCCTCTTTGCCTCAGCCTGCTGGACAAGTGTCTCCTCGAAATGGGAGAGGCCATGCTGCCCCGCCTGCCTCCAGGCTGAATGCTCAGATGTCAAGGTTTCCCATCTGTTGAGGTCCATGCCTAAAGCCTTCAGTTCCCACTTGCAGATATCCTTGTATCGTAGCTGTGGTCTCCCTCTGGGGTGATTTCCCTGCACTAATTCTCCATACAGGAGATCTTTTGGAATCCAACCATCAGCCATTCTCACTATATGCCCAAGCCAACATAGACGTCGCTGTTTCAGTAATGTATACATGCCAAAAATTCCAGCTCGTTCTAGGACTACTCTATTTGGAACTTTGTCCTGCCAGGTGATATCAAAAATGTGTCGGAGACAATGCATAGGGAATGTGTTCAGCTTCCTTTCCTGCCATGCACAAAGGGTCTGGGACTCAATGCAGTACAGCAGCGTACTCAGGACACAGACTCTATAGACCTGGATCTTGGTATATGCCGTCAGCTTCTTATTAAGCCATACTCTCTTTATGAGTCTAGAGAACATGGTAGCTGCTTTGCCAATGTGTTTATGCAGCTCGACATCTAGGGAGAGAGTGTCAGTGATCGTTGAGCCAAGGTACACAAAGTCATGAACAATCTCCAATTCTTGTGTGGAGATGGTAATAGAGGGAGGCGAGTCCACGCCCTGGCCCTGTTTTCTTCAGGCTGATGTCAATCCAAAGTCTTGGCAGGCCTTGCTAAAGCGATTCATTAAGTTGTTGGAGCTCTTCAGCAGAGTGGGCAACAACGGCTGCATCATCGGTGAAGAGGAAGTCCCGCATGCATTTCAGCTGGACTTTGATCTTAGCTCTCAATGCAGAGAGATTAAAGAGCTTTCCAACTTTTTTAAAAATAAAATTTATTTTCCCAACATAAAACTTACAAATATATAAGAAACAGCATCTTATATATACCCTGTTTGCAATCTATATATAGATCCCAAACAGGGTTAGTATAAGGACACAGCCCTGTTTCACTCCGCTTTGGATGCCAAAGGGATCTGATGTTAATTTCCTTATGGAAGGACCTGATGATGTTAAGGAGTCGAGATGGACAGTCAACCTTGGGAAGTATTTTAAAAAGGCTGTCCCTGCTAACCAAATCAAAGGTCTTTGTAAGATTTATGAAGGCCACAAAGACTGGCTGTCCTTCCCTACATTTCTCCTGCAACTGTCTGAGCGAAAATACCATGTCAGTGGTGGATCTCTTAGCTCAAACTGTTTGAGGGAGAATCCACACTATAATTCGGGATAGGCTCTACCCTGCAAGCACCTGGAGTCTCTTCAGCACAACACGGACAAGCAGCTTCCCTACAACGCTGGGAAGAGAGATGCCACAGTAGTTATTGCAGTTGGCCCTGTCTCCTTTGTTCTTATACAATGTGATGATGTTTGCATCCTTCATGTCCTGTGGGACTCCACCTTCCCTCCAGCAAAGACAAAAGATTTCCTACAGCTTGGTGGCAATGATCTCTTTACAGCACTTCAGCAAGGATTTTATCCTTCCCATGTGGCTTGCGGGAGGCAAGGGAATCCAAGGCCACTTACAGTTGGTTCGCTGTCCAACTCTTCCAAGACAGGCTAGCACTCAATGTTATTCAGTGCCTCTTCGGTTACTACTTTCTCTCTGGAATATAGCTCATAATAGTGCTGCACCCAGCGTTCCATCTGCTGTGCTCGGTCCTGGATGATCACGCCTGTAGCAGACTTCAAGGGAGCAGAGTTCTTCTGTATTGGACCTAAAGTCTGTTTGATACCGTCATACATTCCCGTGATGTTACTTGTGTCCGCTGCTATCTGTATCTGGGAGCAGAGCTGAAGCTAATAATCGTTGGAACATCTCCTGGCAACCTGCTGGACTTTGCTACAAGCAACTCAAAGAGCCTGCAATTTGTACTCACTAGGACAGGCTTTGTATGCTGCAAAAGCTCTCCTCTTATCCTCCATGGCTGGCATCAACTCCTCCAAATGAAGCTTATAAGCTTCGTCATATGATACAGTTAGACACAATATTGCAGAAACGCCTTGTAGCAAAATAGAAAGGGAATTACTAGGTAAAATCTTTGTATATAAAAAGGACTTTAAACGTCTTTACTAGTTTACAGTATTCTCCAGTGCAACTGTGGAGGCAAAGAAAGAAAAGTGTTGATTAGAGCTTTCCCCTTTAATCCCAATATAGTGTTACCCAGGCTCTCACAAATTATTTAGCCCCTAAAGGTTTTGAAAAGACTAGCCTTAATGAGTTCTATATAAATCAACAACCTTTCCCCAGGGATTATTTTAGCTGTCACTTCAGAGATTTGGGTACCTTGTGGGTACTTCTACTAGACAAATAGGGACTTCTACTAGACAAACTTTTATTAGGAAGCAAGATATGAGATGCCTCATTCCTTTTGAGGATATCCTCTGCTCTCTAGGTTGTCAACTGAGGCACATCTGGGCTCTTCACTGGGGCTGCGTGAGATGTGAGAATGTGACTGGGTTATTAGAAGGTACAAAAAGGTGGTTGGAGATACAGTCTTTTAAAAAATCTGTAGAAAGGGGTCTCAGTTACCATTCAGGAGACTATTTTGAGAATACAGTGGTGCCTCGCTTAGCTATTGCCTCGTTTAACGATGTATTTGCTTAGCGATGAGGTTTCTGGAGCGATTTTGCGCTCCATTTAACGATGTTCCCTATGGGGAAAATTCGTATAGTGATGTTCGGGACCTTGCCTCGCTTAGCGATGACAGTTTTAGGTCCCCTGTTTCGCTTAGCGATGTTCCATTTTCGCTATTTTTAAAGTGTCTTAAAAGGTTCAAAAATGATTTTAAATGCTTGGAATCGTTAGTGCACCTTCGAAAACGTGTGCAAACGTAATTTGGCTATGTTCTGACTCTTCGTTAATTTTTGGTGAATTTTTCCCCCCACTGAAATGCACTGAACCCGATTTTGACAGCTGTCAAAATTGGGTTCAATGCTTTCCAATGGGGGAGAAAAAAATTCGCCAAAAATTAACGAAGACTCAGAACAAAGCCAAATTAAGTTTGCACATGTTTTAGAAGGTGCACTAATGATTCCAAGCATTTAAAGCCATTTTGAACCTTTTAAGACACACTTAAATTTGCAAAAACGGACATTGCAAAACCATTGAAATGCATTAAATAGGCTTCAATGCATTCCAATGGGGGATACATTGTTTCGCTTAGCGATGTTTCCTATGGGGTTTTTCACTTAAGGACGGCAATCCGTTCCCATTGGAACAGATTAACCGGTTTTCAATGCATCTCTATGGGAAAATGTGTTTCGCTTAGCGATGGTTTTTTTTTGAACCAATTAACATCGTTAAGCGAGGCACCACTGTACCTTTTAAATGGTTTGACCCCACTCTGGCTTTCACATTATTCCTCCAAAAGTCATCTTTGTGCTGGAGAGGCTGTAAATGCAAGGGATTTTTTCATCACCTCTGGTGTTCTTGTAAAATGGTATAGCAGCTTTGTGAGAAGGTGCTTAAATCAAAAGCGTTATAAATCAGTTGATTACTAAATGCCTGGAACGAGTACTCCTTATATTGTTTTTCAGGGAGAATGAATATATCTCACATAAACCTTTAATAGGCCATGTTTTAGGAGCTGTAAGATACATTATAGCTAAAGTGTTGAAGAATATGCAGGAGGTATGAGTTACGCTGCGGTACTCTGGAGTACGGCAGATAGCACTGCAAGAAAAATTAACCACCAAATTGCATACAGCTAAAGGAATAAAACACTCAACACTCATTTGGAACAGACTGGAAGACTTTATTGTGTATATGAATGGAACAGATAATAAAGGATTCCCTGAAGCATATAAGATTTACGGCAAACCAAGCCGTATGAGAAATTCTAGGTATGAGAAAAAGATGACTGAAAAATATATGATAGCACTATTCAAATACTTAAAAGGTTGTTATACAGTGGAGTGCTAAGATCTGTTCTCAGTCATTTCAGAGTGCAGGACACATAATAAAAGTCTCAAGTTAACAGGATGCAAGATTTCAGCTGAATATCAAGAAAAACATCTTAACTGTTAGAGCAGTACCTTGGGAGGTGGTGAACTCTCCAACACTGGAGGCATTCAAGAGAAGGTTAGATAACCACCTCTTATATATACTAGATTTTTGCACTGAGCAGAGGGTTGGACTTGATGGCCTGATAGACCTTTTCCAAGTCCATTATTCTATGAGTTTCTGAATAAAATATTTAGGAAGGAAGAATTTATTTTCCTGTAAATTTACTTACTTTCCGTTTAATACTGCTACACCCACTGTACTCCTTGGAGTTGACATACTAGCCACAAAATTCCACTGACGTGCTTGGGGATCCCATCTTTCTACAGTGTTCAGGTAGCTCCAACCATCATGTCCTCCTACAGCATACATAGGACCTTCCAATACTGCGACCCCTTAAAGCAAAACATAGTTTCTGAATGTAAAATCAACTAATTGTGTTTCACACATACAAATATTATGTCTTTAGGAAACACTGGCTGAAGTCCACTAGCAGAATTTAGCACACAGTTGATGATGTTATCAACCTTACATGATGTTAAAATCTGTTCCTGGATTTCAACAGCTTTCCTTTTCTGATGAAGAATCCTGGAACCAGGGATTCTGCTGAAGATTTTGAGATACTCGTTATATGGGAGTGTGGCCAAACTACTGTGATGCATCCCAAAATAAACCTGAGATCCTGCTTGCCTACTTCTTATTCCATGGCAACATATACTCAAAGTACTGACTTTGATGAATAAACTATCCTACAGGAAAATATTTCCATTTCTTTTCTTCTTTCCACCGAAAAAATGCCTCTAGAATATGGTTTCTAACGTAGAGGAACAGTAAAACCATGAAGCAATGGCTAATGCTCATTCTGTAGTATCTTCATCTTACAACTGTCAATACAATTTGAAAAATTCTTCAGTTGCTTGCTTATAAAAGAATAGAAAAAAGTAGGGTTTCTTGATTTCTAAGTCATTAAGCCCAAACTGCTATAATGCTGTCAAAGATTTCTACACTATGCAAGGCAATTTGCTCTGCATTTATAACAGGCAGTGTAAACCTGAAGATTACGCTTAAACTTAGCAATTTGTTTCCAACTTTGTCTATTACAAATAAGCCAAAATCCTGTTCATGTAAAATTGAGTCATTCTGATAGCAGTAATTTTTGGTAATTAAAGACTTCTTCCTCCTGTCTCCACAAGCCTCATAAAAACAATTACATGGGAGGCATGGTTGCCTCAGGGCAGAAATAGGAAATATTTAATTTTTTAAAAACTGTCCCAGCTGATGATACCTTCAGCTTTATGAGATGCAACTTATGCAAACGGGATTTCAGCCATTGTCTACAAATGATACAGAGCACATCAAGTACAAGTGATACTTCAGATATGTTCACTCGAAATGGGTTAATTATAGCACAGCCTTTGTTTAAAAAACGAGCTATGAAAAAAATTATACATACCAAGACCATGACGGTGAGTGGACATAGGAGGCATCACACTCCAAGTTTTTGTTTTGGGGTTGTAACACTCCACAGTATTCAATGTTTTCAGGCCATCTCTACCACCAACAACATACAACTTATCATCTAACACTGCTACCCCAAATTGTAGTCTTCTTCCATTCATATTTGCTACATGAGTCCACATATTGGTACGGAGATCATACTTTTCAATGCTTGTTGCCCCTTAGAAATAACGTAAAATAATTAACTGAACCAGTCAATAGTTACAATTGATTCAGAAAAATAAAACTGGATTGGTTTGATGGTCAAGTTGGTCACAAATGTACATTTAAAAAATCTCCCAAGTGTATACAAAAAAAAAAAATACAACAATATTAACATACACTGACTGAAATCCTCTTGGCAGAGCTGTGTGGTGGCAAATGGTGATGATGTCATCAGTCCTAGATATTAATCTTTGTTGTAAAGTTTCTTACCTTCCTCCCCGCCACAGTTCTGAGGCCTTCCAGGCATTCATTTCAAGGGGAAACCTTTGAGAATATGTGTGTGTGTGTGTGGGGGGCTTTAATATTTTAAACCCCCTGTTGCTGGTCCTGATCTTGACAGTAGGACTAGCAGCCCATGGCTCCCAAAAGCTTTCCCACGCCAAAAGGGATCCCTAGGAAATTCAGAATCTATGGGAAGGATAGAAAAATTTTAATTGAAAATTAACATTTGTGGCTGGTGACATCATCACCATTTGTGACTGTGGAGTTGTGCACCAGGATTTCAACCAGTATGTGTTAACAGTATGACCCACTTAAGTTGTGTGAGAATCTCTTTCAATGATTGCATAAATACAATATATGCAAAAAATACAACAGTAGTAATTTCAACACACATATACGGACCCCCCCCCCAAATCAAAGCATGGACTCTTTAATTAGGGGCAAACTGCCACATCAACAATTCTGCTCTACTGGCAGAACCACAGAATAGGGTACGTACTGCTCTTTATCAGTTTTTGATTCGTATTAGGTGCTCATTTAAGTGAGAATGAAAAAGTAGTCCACAGTTAACTATACTGTATTCAGTATTTATATATTCAACACAACATGTAAGATCACTTACACAACCACTGCAAGGACTTTTTCATCAACTGATGAAAGTATTGGTAGCTTCCACTACTTATTTTAGCTTTTTACCATATCTTCCACAGGTATTTATTCCACAGGTATTAACTGATTTCAAGTAATCAGACCATGCAACAATTTATATACTTTAAAACATTTTAACAGTATTAATATTTAAGAATTGTTACTTCATTGTCTGTTTTTGTACAAATACCTGGATGCATATTAGGTTACAACAATGGTTCTCAAACTATGTCCCATGGTAACATGTGGTGCCAGGAAACCTAGGGGTGCCACAGAATCCTCTAATCCTCTCCCCTCCCTTCTCCCCCTCCAAAAGTATCACACAGCACTTACTTGCAGTTTCTCTGGTGCCCATGCATGGTGCAGAGAGGGAACTTTGGCCCAGTCTTGCCAAAGGATGACAAAAGTGACAAATATAAGATAAAATCTTAGTACAATCAAACTAAGTCAATACCTTTAGTTGCATCCATTCCTCCAACTGCAAACAACACACCAACTGTTGATTTTCTAGGCTTTGTGCGGGGGCTTTGTAACATTGGCCGCCTCTCTGGCAACAAATGGTACTTCATTGCTTCCATAATGAGTTTTTGACATTCAATATCATCTCTGAACAGTGCATTGTTTTCCATATCTGCCAAAAACTAGAAGTAATAAATAAGATGTGTTGAATTGCTACTCAGTAATAAATCAATAGGAATTTTCTGTTCAGAAAATACCAAGATCTGTCTGGAATTAATAGTGGTAACTCAGACATAAATGTCAAGTAATCTATAATCAATACAAATAAATAGATGAAAGTCAGGACCAGCATAGGCAAGGTGTCAGAGATCCACAATCAGAACTCCTGATAATATAAATCTGTTATTAGATTTTAACCCTTTCTCCAAGACTGTTTTCCTGATGAATCTCATCCCATCTGATTCCCAAGTTATTATTTAATCTGTTCAGCGAAATGTCTGCACACAGAAATTCTACTATTATATGCATATTATGGAATAGCATGAAGTATCTTTAATTGTATTATTTATTTATTTAATTTATATTATTTATACACCACCCTTCTCCCCATAGGGGACCCATAACTGATATAATTTCTGAAACTTAGAGAGGTTTTTATATAGTACTCCAACCTGCTTTAACCATTGTGACCTTTCATGTATTTTTACATAATTTACGTGAACTTGAACAGAACAGTGTAACTTTAAACTCAACAATAAGAGTGTATAACATGTCACCCTCTAGAAGTTATTAGACTACAGGTCCCATCAGCACCATCCTGCATAGTCAATAGTGGGGGAAGACGGGAGACGGGGTTTAAAATACCCAGAAGGCCACATATTCTCAGTACTGCTTAGTGTCATCCTTTAATGAAGTCCAGTAACCTTGGTTAATCCTGATTTAGCAGACTTCCTTTCCCTACTTAGCCCCACCCCACTCACACCCTCTTACCTTAATAGCTGCTGCTGAGGTCTCCATCAGGCCTTTGTAGCTATGGCATGTAAAAATGGAGACTGACTACCCTTTGCAAAGATGGCAGCTGTGGCTTCATTTAGGGTAGGGAGGTTGCAGCTGCCATCTTTGCAAAGGGCAGCCAGTCTTCCTTTTTACATGTGTGTCTCCAAGGCCAGAAGACCTCAGCAGCAGCGATTAAGGTAAGAGGGTGTCAGTGGGGGTTGAGTGGTGTGGTGCCTAAGGTAGGGAAAGGAATGGGGTGGGGGGTAGGCTGTGGTATTGGGTGGCTGTGTGGGGTGGTGACTGCCTTTCTGCCGCAAATCAGCTGATCAGCGGCTGGTAGGCAAAATGATGTTTTTTTTCTGTTTTAATACAAAGGACGAATAAAAACGGGTACATATTTGTCCCGTCATACTCATGGGGGTCTCTGGAACCCACAAATATGGCTCAATGAATATTTAATGAATCGGCTATATTTGTCAGAAAAAGGGACCCATTTTTTGTCCCCATCTCTACTTAAAATGTTTCAGCAATCCAACAAAAATACTTACCAACCCAGAACTTTGTTTATAACAAATCAGTACTGGCATCTACTTAATACTCCACTTACTCTCATAACTTGCTTATTATCTGATTCATTCCAGTTTTTGTTGTTGTTTAGTCATTAAGTCGTGTCTGACTCTTCATGACCCCATGGACCAGACCATGCCAGGCCCTCCTGTCTTCCACTGCCTCCCGGAGTTGGGACAAATTCATGTTGGTCATTTCGGTGACACTGTCCAACCATCTCGTCCTCTGTCGTCCCTTTCTCCTCTTGCCTTCACCCTTTCCCAATATCAGGGTCTTTTCCAGGGAGTCTTCTCTTATCATATGGCCAAGGTATTGGAGCCTCAGCTTCAGGATCTGTCCTTCCAGTGAGCACTCAAGGTTGATTTCCTTTGGAATTGATAGGTTTGTTCTCTTTGCAGTCCAGGGGACTCTCAAGAGTCTCCTCCAGCACCACAATTCAAAAGCATCAACTCTTCAGCAGTCAAACTTCTTTATGGTCCAGCTCTCACTTCCATATATTGCTACTGGAAAAACCATAGTTTTGACTATGCAGAACTTTGTTGGCAAGGTGGTCTCTCTGCTTGTTAAGATGCTGTCTAGGTTTGTCATTCCTTTCCTCCCAAGAAACAGGCGTCTTTTAATTTTGTGGCTGATGTCCCTGTCTGCAGTGATCATGGAGCCCAAGAAAGTAAAATCTTTCACTACCTCCATATCTTTCCCTTATATTTGCCAGGAGGTGATGGGACCAATGGCCATGATCTTTGTTTTTTTTTTATGTTGAGCTTCAGACCTTTTTTTGCCCTCTCCTCTTTCACCCTCATTAAGAGGTTCTTTAATTCCTCCTCACTCTCTGCCATCAGAGTGGTATCATCTGCATATCTGAGGTTGTTGATATTTCTTCTGGCAATCTTAATTCCAGTTTGAGATTCCTCCAGTCCACCCTTTCACATGATGTATTCTGCATAGAAGTTAAATAAGCAGGGAGACAATATACAGCCTTGTCGTACTCCTTTCCCAATTTTGAACCAATAAGTTGTTCCATATCCAGTTCTTACTGTTGCTTCCTGTCCCACATATAGATTTCTCAGGAGATAGATAAGGTGGTCAGGCACTCCCATTTCTTTAAGAAATTGCCATAGTTTGCTGTGGTCCACACAAAGACTTTTGCGTAGTCAATGACGCAGAAGTCGATGTTTTTCTGGAACTCTCTGGCTTTCTCGATAATCCAGTGCATGTTAGCAATTAGGTCTCTAGTTCATCTGCCCCTTCGAAATCCAGCTTGTACTTCTGGGAGTTCTCGGTCCGCATACTGCTGAAGCCAACCTTGTAGGATTTTGAGCATAACCTTGCTAGCGTGTGAAATAAGTGCAATTGTATGGTAGTTGGAGCATTCTTTGACATTGCCCTTCTTTGGGATTGGGATGTAGACTGATCTTTTCCAATCCTCTGGCTATTGCTGAGTTTTCCAAACTTGCTGGCATATTGAGTATAGCACTTTAACAGCATCATCTTTTAAGATTTTAAATAGTTCCACTGGAATGCCATGATCTCCAGTGGCCTTGTTGTTAGCCATGCTTTCTTTTGTTCACTGTTTTGAAACTGATTTCTAAAAAAATGGTAGGAAACTATAACATCTTAAAAAGAAAAAAATAGCAGGAAGTAAGCTGAAATAATCAGGTTAACTACCGTAATTTTTTTGCTCCATAAGACGCACCTGACCTTAAGACGCACCTAATTTTTAGAGGAGGAACACAGGGAAAATATATTCTGAACCAAATAGTGTA